ACAAAGTATATGTGAACTGCTGTATGGAAAGTGAATTTGCTCTGTAAATCTTCACCCAAATCACAATTAAAAAATAAATAAATAAATAAAAGAAAAAGAACCAAATGGAAATTCTAGAGTGGAAAGTACAATAAAAATGAAAATTTATCACCAGTAGATTTGAACCAGCAGAAGAATCAGCAAACTTCTAGATAGATTGATACAGATAATGCAATCTGAAAAACAGAGAAAAGAATGGAGAATGGAGAAAAATGAAAGAGAAGCAGGCAGTACTATTAAGTACACAAACATGCATAATGGAAATACCAAAATGAGAACTGAGGAAACGTGGTCACAATGGAATGAAATGCGAAAGCCATAGCGGAAGGACCAACTTCAGGGGGTGGGAGACATAACTCAATCAGTTGTGCCGATGTGATGAGGCTACAACAAAGACATTGGACACAAAAGCTCCATGGCTGGAAGGCGTTGATGCATGTGAAAGGGTAACGCATCCCTTTGAGGGGCATGGAAGGTCTGCATTGAGAACGTTCTACACCTCACTCTATGCATCATATTTGTATTCTTTTGTTACATTGAAGCTGTAATCATAATAAGTATAGTTCTGTGAGTCATTCTAGTGAATTATAACCCAAGGGAGTAGTGGGAGCCAGCAGGTTAGAAGTGGGAGGACCCTGGGGGACCCCAGGTTTATGCTTAGTATCCTGAAGGGGTAATGGCAAAACCCTGAATTTGCAGCCAGCAGGTCAGAAGTGAGGTTTTCATGGGTCTCCAAGCTTGTGACTTGTGCCTTTTAACTTAGGAGGCCTGATTTAGTTCCAGGTGGTTATGATCAGCGGAATAAGTGCTGCACGTGTAGTGGAATTGGAACTGAATTGATGTGGGAAGTGGAATCAAGTGGATCTGTAAGATTGATTGCAATTGATGCTTACCTTTGGTGTCAGAGAAGTGGGGTTTCATTTTTTTCAGTATTTATATATACTAACGATTCACTTCTCATTTTTATTTTATATACACGTTATTGGAGGTTAACATTACAGTTTACTAATTAGATAACAATATTCAGGGGATGGTGACTAGATTTGAGGAGTAATTCACATAGCCTGCAATGGCTTATGTAATTGTTGGAACTGAATTTTCTCATTTTGGAGAAGAATGAGAACTTGTTCATTATTTTAAAACAGCTTTATTGAGATATATACCTACTCCTTACTTATCAACTCATTATCCAAAATTTCACATTTACAACAACAGTAAAAATTCTATCCATTTTGCACATTAATACATATATGTGGGAGTAATGAACGCCAAGGTGCAAGGCAAGAGTAACGTTGGCTGTGGTGCTTAAGGTTATGTGTCAGCCTGGCTGGGCCATGATCCTCAGTGGTTTGTCAGTTGTGTTATGATGTGGTCATCCTTCATTTTCATGTAATTCCAGTATTCACGTAACAACCTAGTCTTTGGAACCTAACCATGTCAGTAAGGAAAGAGTAGATATGATCCACTATTTATATTTTGCATGTTAAATTTCATTTAACTCTGTAACTCACCCTTCCTATTTTGGAGGTTACCCCTCAAAACACAATCGTTTTTGGAGAGGGAAATTTAATCATTAAATTCTGATCCTGGTATATTTCTTTGTATTTACCTTTTTTTTACATAGCAACATATTCTATGATATAATTTCTCATTCACTTTGTGAGAAGATTATTTTCTTTAAGGACAGAGTACCCTTTGATTGATGCAGTAGTTAATACTTATGTTCTCAAAATCAATGAAAACTTCAGTAAGTCAATGATGTACAGCATAGTTAGGCTATGTCAGGTAATATAATTGATGCATTTATCATTTTAACAAGTGAAACTGAAATTCCACGGCACAGCTATTTTGAAAAAAAGTGATTTTCTTATGGCTGCAGAGTTTTTGCTGTCTGATGTAATATTGCTGGTTACTAATACAATTGAACAAAATTTTAAATGACTCTGGGAGTTAAATCAATGATAAATTTATTATTTTTAAAATGTTCAATATTGTTTTTGTGAAAGTTGTGTTTACCCTAATAATTCTTGGTTTTTCTTGTTATTTGTTATAAGTCCTTCCCAGATATGATCCATCATGCCTACTTAAGGGACATTTGAGCACCAAAAGTAATGGTAAGTGAAGTACTGGTTTTATTTAATGGCATGTTCCCTTTATATGCAAGTTATATGGCATGATGAAAAATTACTTCAAAAAGTGAATAATGAACTTGAGATTTCATGACTTTATAATGTAATGTTAGCAACCAACCAACTCACTGCCATCGAGTCAATTCCAACTCATAACGACCCTCTAGGACAGAGTAGAAGTGGCCCACAGGATTTTCAAGGCTGTAAATCTTTACCCAAGCAGAGTGTCTCATCGTTCTCTTATGGAGCGGCTGGTAGGTTTGAACCACCAAACTTTCAGTTAGCAGCCAAATGCTTTAACCATTGTACCACCTGAGTTCCTCATCTAATGTTAGAGTAGCTAGGAATTCTTGAAATTGGAAAAGTAGGAGTCCATCGTTGAAAACCCTTATTGAGTCACTGCATGTAGGATTGGCATGTTCCCTGCTGCAGCTCCACCTGGCTCTACTCTCTGCCAGCAGACAACCCTGGCTTGAGGCATGCCTGCCTTGTCAAAAGGGTAATTAGCAGGTGTGAAACACAAGAGCACTGAAAAGGAAGAGCTTGCAGAGAACTAAGCACTTTTTATTGAAACATTTTGTATCAGCAAACAAACACTTAAGGGCCTCGCTATTGAATTGCATTTCTGGGACCTTGAAAGGGAAGTCTACCATGTATTTTCGTGGTGGTCTTAATTTTAAAGTCTTCAAAGTAAATTTTTATGTTCTGAATTTAAAATATTTGTTTACAATTATAGCTTAAAATTATAAGTTAATGTGTTAACTTGAGCAAAATGATTGAAAGTATTTTTTCCTTATTTATGAGAAAAATCTTTGATAGTGGTTGCCTTCATATATGAAGGAAAAAAAAACAAACCAGCCCCACTGCCATGGGGCTCATTCTGACTCATACTGACCCTTATAGGACAGAGTCAAACTGCTCCATAGGGTTTCCAAGGCAGTAAATCTTCTCCCACAGAGCAGCTGGTGGGTTTGAACCACCAACCTTTTGGTTAGTAGCTGAATGCTTTGACCACTGCACTACCAGAGCTCCTTCTGAAGGAAGGAAGGATCACATTTCAAAGTTTCCTCACTCATTTTTCTTGTATTAAAGTAAATATACACTTAGAACTAGAAGAGTAAACTTTCCTTTGAAAAAGGATTTTAAGTAAAAATTTAAAACTACATTTAAAATACCTGTACTTGAAAAAACAGAAGGACTAGATGTAAAGTTTACTAACATTTCTTTCAAGAAATGACTGTTCAGAGACAGGGTAAGTATAGTGGTTATCAGCATCTGGCTTCCTAGTTCACATCCAAACTGTATCCTTGACCCCTCTGTGACCTTGAACATCTCACTCTCATCTCTGCCTCAGTTTTCACTTCCGGGATGATGATAATGACTAAATGAGTTTCTATACATCAGGACCTAGAAAACTTGCATATGGCAAATGGCAAACATTCAGTGAATGCTTCCAGTAGTAGTACTAATAATAGTAAGGGGCACTGGTGGCAGAGTGGTTAAGAGCTCAGCTACTAATCAAATGGTTGGCAGTTCGAACCCACCAGCCAGCTCCATGGGAGAAAGATCTGGCAATCTACTCTCATAAAGATTACAGCCTAGGAAGCCCTACGGGGCAGCTCTACACTGTCCCATGGGGTGGCTATGAGTCAGAATAGACCCAATAGCACACATTAGTAGTAGGACTAGTATCAAGCTCATGACTATTGTATATGCTTATCTTATACATAGAATTTCCTTGGAAGGATGTTACAAAAAGGACAAGGAGGCCACATATTCTGACCTCCTAGAACCCCACAAGAGGAAGGCAGAATCACCATCAATAGCCCAAGGCCTATTACTGCAAGGCCAGACATGCTGCCTCCCTCCAGCCCTTTCACCAACCGTTCCTCCCAAAGCACCCACCACCACTCTCCTGGGTTT